GGCAGTGATCCACCCTGCCCAGCCGCGGTGGGCGCTGTTCCAGGCTGAGCAAGGAAACATTTCCTCACACATGGCCAGCCAAGCACCAAACGCGGAAGGTGACTGCCGTAGACTTTTGTCGCTTGGTTGCAAATGCGTTATTGCGGGATATTGCTCAGAATGTCATTTTCGATGTGTCATACGCGTAGAATTCATTAGTTTTCGTTGCTCTGCGCAAATATTATCAGCAATCGATTAGCCAAATATCAATTAAATGTAAACGAACCCAAAACTAGAACACCTCAGACTGAGAACCAACTAGAAATTGATATAGATAAATAGAGGAATAGAAAAGGAGTTAAAGCCGGCCCTGACAAGCAATTAGACAAGCAAAGTGTGATCCCAATCCCCCGGAGCGACCACTCTCGACCGCCGCGGGAACAAACCGCCGCGGGCGCCGCCGCCTACACGGCCTCGGTGGCTGCCCTCTGTTTGGCCAAGGCTTTATGTCTTGTTTAAACAGACCGCGAGGAGCTTCCGTGGGGATGATACGTCTCCTGCCGTAGCGAACAGTGGAAGGAAAGGGAGAAGGAGCAGGAAAAGGGAAGGACGAGGGAAGATATGGAAGTATTGGAGGGGAGGGAGATAGGGAGGGAGGGAGGAAGAGGGAGGCAGGGAGGGAGAGGGAAGGAGAGAGAGAGAGAGAGAGAGAGAGAGAGAGAGAGAGAGAGAGAGAGAGAGAGAGAGAGAGAGAGAGAGAGAGAGAATGAGAGAGAGAGAGAGAATGAGAGAGAATGAGAGAATGAGAGAATGAGAGAGAATGAGAGAGAGAGAGAGAATGAGAGAGAGAGAGAGAGAGAATGATGAAAAGAGGAAGAGGAAGAGAAAGAAAGAAGAGACGAAACGAGAAGAGGAGAGAAGGACACTAGAAAAGAAAAAGGGCACAGGAAGCGGAAGAGGGGGGTGTGCAAGTAGGGGCGAAAGGGGAGACAAGAGGAGACGGAAGATGACCACGAACGTTCTCGAGTAAGATCAAGGGATCAGAGAAGAGAATGCGAGACGGGGAAGGAGAGGAGTGAAAGGAAACAAGAGACAATTGAACAAAGAGGAAGTGAGAGATTGTAAGGTTCTAAAATTAGATAATGCAAAAACAGAAACAGAAGAGAAATCAACAGGGGGGAAACGAAGAAGGAAAGGGGAGGGGAAAGAGAAACAGTAAGAGTGACAGCGGAACACCAGAAGTGGGGGAGGGTGGGGGTTCCAGGCTGGAAGGGAGGGGGGAGGGGATGAAAGAACTGGCGGGGAATTCGAATCATCATTGTGAAAAACTCCAAGAGAGGAGGGGTGGGGTGGGGGGGCGAAAGGGGAGAAGTGGGAGGAAAAATACATGCGAAAGGGGAAAGAGGGAAGACGGAGAGATGGGGTAAAGGGTACGAGAAAAGGGGAAAAGGACAAGGGTAGCTGGGAGAGGTAGACAAGGAGGAAGGAGGTAATGAGCTCATTATTCGATAAACGAAAGGCAAATACGGAAGTGGACGGAGAAAAATAATGCGAAAATCAACGCGTGTGGCTTCCTATATTCAGTAAGTGGGGAGCGAAGAAGAGATAAAAAGACGTGGGGGTGGGGTTATTGGAAGATAGGAAAAGATAAAGAAAGAGGAATTCGAGAGAAAGGGAGCAGCGGTGGCGGTGGTGGTGGTGTGTGTGTGTGGGGGGGGGGGAGAACGAGAGCAAGAGGAAATAACACGAAAGAAAGAAACATATATTTAAACCGAGACGTGAATACAACAAAGAGAAGAAAAGTCATGGTCAGGGGTTGGCCGAGCGAGAAAGGGAAAATAAATCGGTCAGCAGATGAAAAGGAAAAGGCAAACCGTGAAAAATAATAACCACAAAGACGAGGAAACAGAAATGAGGGTGGCGAGGAGAGGAGAGGGGAGGAGAGGGAAGGATGGGATGGGATGGGAGTGGGGGGAAGGGGAGAGAAGGGGAAAGGAGAGGCGGGGAGGGTAAGGGATGATGACCACTATACGCCACCTGGGTCGCAGACGAGTGGTTCCAAGCTGGAGTGAGAATTAATGGCGGATACAAAGAACATGAAAATAAACGTCGGCATAAGAAAATAATCCTTTCCGATAACATCAACCTGATAAGAATTCCCCCAAAATGCAAGGAGGAAAGACACACAGCGAGTCCACCCCAGCGGAGAACGCATCAGAATCGCTCCTAAATAAACAAAGAAATTCCCTGAACGCCGAGCATAAATATACACAAAAACAACAACAGGAGAGCAGACGGCAGACAGCAGACAGGAGAGGCAGCTTCACTAACTGATAGCCTTGCATGTCCGCGCATGAACGCAAACAAGGGCACAGCAGGTGTACCCCTCGCTCGCCGCTTGTTGGTCCAGGTGTTTCCAAGCCTCTTGTTTTTGCCGTTGCACGTGACCAGGTATACATCAGCCATTTCCTTCGCCCTACTTTTATGACTTTCCTTTCTATCCTTTCTCACTATTGCCGCATAAAGCTAGCAAGACCTGCTTGGGGAGAGCGCGGGCTTCCAACGCACGTATGCAAGCCACGCACCTCCTACAGTCTTTTTAAGCGTTCCGCCAATCATCTCCGTCCGCTGAACCCTGTCGACGAGGACGACTCTCATGCCCATGAATACCCAAATGAGACAATACCCAAACGTCAGCCGCAATGGCTTCATAGATGTGTCGCCGGATGGCCGCGGGGGGTGGGGGTGGGGGGCGCGTAGGAAACATCAGCGGCGCCTCGACGTCTCAATGACCAGCGGAGCGACGCGAGCAGGAAAGCATCTTGTCACTGCGACAAGCGACTGCGAAATCGACTACGCAACATTGTTTATCCAAGTCACAACTAATATTTACAGAGCCACAGGATATGATGCTCAAGAGGGACACCCGCGCCGGTAACAGATTTACAGGAAATAACTCGCCATTCCGCATCAGCGCCAGAAACAGCCTACAGAAGCAATGAGCGAGATTTCCGCTGAAAAATATCGATAACAAATGACAGACATTTGGACGGCTTGACTAGGCAGCCAAGTCATGGTACAGAAGGAAATAATTCTTAATTTGGATATATAACTGACAATTAGGTGTAACCATGGCAACTGACCTATCTCCTCGCTTAGCTAATGGTGATGGATGTGCTTCACCTCCAAGGCATGCGGTTCTTTGTTTATTTACTTCATTACCCGCAACACATGTACAAGTTCTACTGAACGAACAGCAGGACAGTGACACGATATTCATCAAAGGCTAATTCCACTGCAGATATTTGATAAGTGACAAAAAACTTGTTAAAAGGAATAGCAATTGTTGACAAATACATTACTAATAAACAGTGAAGCAACTTAAATCCCACGAACTGTGCTTTAATAAGGGAAAGCAATCCTCCACTGTCTAATCCTCTTAAATCCTAGCACATGATGGCATCGTGGGATTTCCTGTCTGTCGCCTGAACGAAGGAAGTTTTGACGTGGCCTCCCCTTTGGATGCTTATTTACTGGCACTGTCATTAAACCCCGCCTTCTGCCTGGCCCCGTTCTCTTTTGCAGTTTCCTTTATCCCGCTTTCGTACTTGCAAACTTACATAATTACCCTTTTCTCTCGCTTGCTTCTCTTATTTCCTCGTTCCCTCCCTCTTGTCCTCCTTCTCCTTCTCTCTCTCTCTCTCTCTCTCTCTCTCTCTCTCTCTCTCTCTCTCTCTCTCTCTCTCTCTCCTTCCTCCCTTCTTCTCTTCTCTCTCTTTCTCTCTTTCTAGATGTTAAGGAGAGTGAAAGACGAATCCTGATAGATACCTCGCGCATATATCAAAAGGAGAAAGAATAGAATATCGAGTTTCCCGGCCAGAGATGTTCGGACAAATGTTTAGAGGAGCTAGAAGGGTCGTCGGGGGAGCGTGAGAACAAGTACACAGTATTGCATAATGGCAGAACACTTGTGGCAACACCCACCCACACCGATCCGCTAGTGCCGCCCTCACGAAAAAAAATAACACAAACACTCTCACTTTACAAATATGCTTACGCAAATATATACACATGCCGAAGCACACACACACGCACACACATACCTCATTAAGAACTAGGAGAAACGTCATTCTATTATTTTCATATCAAGAAATATCTGTTTGTCTGTATCACGTCAGCTCTTCAGTCACATAACACTGATCCAGATGTTAACGCCATGCATGAGAGACATGACGTAATATGTATATGATTACGAAGGCTAAATCACACTGATAAAACTAAACACTAACAATCAACTCACATTCCGCGTATGACTCCATCTCATTACGTATCAAGACTCAGTATATCGCCATAAAAACGTCCTTTGTTCCTTGTTGTATTTTCGTATTGCCACATAAATACTGGAGACACTGGGGCCAGAATCTACATAATGTTATCTCGGTAAATCTCAGCGAAACTCCGTAAACGGGGTCGCATCAGCAGCCATAAGGAACGTGGAGTGGGACCAAAGAGCATCAATAATTCTGTTTACTTTACTGCTTGGGAGGAAACGGAGAGTTTTCTTTAGACCCCACAGAGATTCCAGAAAGTTAAAGTTTTTCCGTGTGCAACAGAGATATTCCTGCTGCTTACGGGGCACTCGACAGCAGTTTCCTGGCATCTGTCCAAGCCCTCTTAAGGAATTCTGCTTGCTCTGGGCCGACTTTTCTTGAGTTGCGAAGTGCACGAATACATTTACGTGAAATCGAAAGATCTCGTCCATGCCACCGCGGGCCATCAAAGTGGACCGCGGAAGCACACGCCTCCCTCCATTATGAAAGGGCAACGAGTCCTCGGATACTGAAATCCTGCTCTTGTAGTGCATGTGACAATCCTACCTGGAACAAATAACTGCAGTCCATATTGCACACACGCACATGCACACATATTGAAATCATAAATAGTTTGTTGCAACAGGCTGTTAGCAGACCTTATGAGGAAGTGTCAGAGCACCCTGACAGCGGAAGACAAAACATACTAACCCAGGTAAGCCAGTAGGGGTCGACAGGGGAGCCCGGGGGGAGGTGGTAGCCCTTCTCGGCCACCTCCCGGTACACGCTCTCGTGGCGGGTGATGGTCACGTGGCGCCGCCCACCCGCCCACCGCCCCCCGCTCTCGTCGTCGCTGATGGAGAAGTTGCGGGTGACGAGCGCCCCCGCCCGACTGCTGATTCTGGGGGAAGCGGGCGCGCCCTCGGAGCCCGCGGGGGAGGGCGTGGAGTGGTGCCCCGTCAGACTCGGACTGCCGGGACACAGCAAGGCTGTGCCACTGCCCGTCCCAGGGAAGCCGTACGGGGGGTTGGGGTTGCTGGGGCTGCGGGGGGCGACGGTCCTGGGAGCCACAGGGAGGCCCGATGCGTGCAGGGCCCGCGGGGTTCCCGGCGAGCGCTGCTGCTGCAGCCCCTGCAGCCCCATGGCAGGCCGTGGGCTGTTGGGCGATGGGGGTGGCATTCCTGCACCTGCCGCAGGCGGGCTGGGCGTAAGGGGGGGGCGCATGCGGGGAGCCCGTGGGGGACGCGGCGGCAGACGAGGCAGGGAACTGTGCGAGCCAGATTCGTCGTCCGAAGTGGATGCCTGCCGAAGGGGCGTGACCCCAGCCCCCAGGGACCGGCCGGACGCGTCCCCGGCCAGACCGCGAGAGTTGGCGCCGGGGAGGGAGTTCGACTTCTCTTTATGTCTCTGTCTGGACTTGTCGAACGGAAGGGAGGCCGAGCTTCTCTCGCTCCTGACGCTGCGCAGCGTGGAGTCCCTGGAGGCAGTCACGTCACGGCACAGCCCGAACCTCCAGCTGCTGGAGATGTCACAGTTGCTGCCATCGTAGGAGCGCTCCTCCTCCGACTCGGCCAACTCGTCACTGGTGATGCTTGACTCCCGGATGGCGCCGAGCCCCTGCCGCGTGAGCTGGCGCCGGTGAATGGCGGCCTGGAGCGCCAGCGACCTCTGTCGGGGCACGCGCACTGCCTCCTTCTCGCTCGCCCTCCGCCCGCTCAGGGACTTGAGGATTCCATTCGTTATGACGCCCGGATGCTTGCACGCGGGGGATATGAGCTGGCTCTGCTTGCACATGTAGCACGTGCCCTCGTCCTCATCCTCGGCGTCATCGCCACTGCAGTAGTCGCACTCCTCTCCGCAGTCGTCCGTCTGACAGTAATCGTCGTCGTAATCGTTGTCGTCAGACGTTGTGCACACTTCAAACTCGTCCGTGCGACACCCTTCCCCGGCGTCCGTTCGGAAACCCTCGTCCTCGAGCTCGCGGTCACTCGCCTCCCGCTCACTGCCGCAGCTGGAGCGGTCCGTTTCCTTGCGGCCACGATTCCGCTTGCGGGCGCTGGCGGGGAGACGCGGAGAGACGCGCGTGTAGTCTTCTACGTCGCTGGCGTGACATTGGCCACACTCACACATGCCCCCGTCCATGCCGCAGTTGTCGTACACGCTGCTCCGTCGCTCCTCATCGGACGCCGTGCTAGTGCCACGGCTCCTCATGTGCACATGGAGGCTGTCGACACCCTGCAGGTCCTCCGAATCGGAGAGGTGAGCCTCCACTTGCTGGTCTCGATACTGAGGGGCCGGCGCGTGGCTCCTGGAGAAGCTGGAGACGTCCCTGGGTGGCGGGGGGTAGTCCGGAGGCTGCGGGGGTGGAAGGGTGTTGAGTGCCCGCGCGATGTCCTCACACGCTGCTCTCAGTCTGTTTTTTCGTTCGATATCATATTCTGCGTCACTGTCTAACAAATCTCCGGGCTCAAGGTTGAGGTAATGGAGACACGAGATCTCGTTGCAGCACGAGGGGCTCTCCAGCGCATTCTCACTGTCACTGGCACTGCACCGGTCGCACCCGCTGCACCGCCGCGAGCCACACGAGGCCACGAAGTTCTGCTTGGGGCCTAATGAGGTAGTTCTCAGCCCTGGTCTCGGGCAGGCGCAGGAGGGCTGCCTCTCGCCGCGAGGGTCGGACTCGATCTGGACGCACTGTTTCGCGCAGTGCCCGGTGCTGGTCACTGCGGCACTGTCTGCCGCCACACAGCACTGCCGAGAATGGCACTGTTCTATGCCGCAACGTCCTGCTAACCTAGCGTGGCCGGGCGTCAGCCTGACGTCGTAAGTGCCGCAGCAAGGAGCTTCCCCCGTCAGTGCCACCAGGAGGCCCCCTTGGTGCTTCTCCTCCTGCAGGTCCCCCGCGTCCCTCCGGAGAGGTGGAGAGAGGTGGTGGGCGCCTTGGGTGCGGTCCTCCCCCGCGCCTCCTCCGGGTGACAGTGCGAGCTGGTGACACAACTGGTCCTGCGTTCCGCAATGAGCGTTGGCGGAGGGGCGCTGCACGTGTGGATTTCCATGTTGTCGAGGCGGTTGCGCGAGTGGAAGTGCTGGCAGGGGGGGCGCGGGTTGACTCTCGCACTCACTCCCCGCCCGCCGGGCCGCCTCCTCGCCTCCTCCCACATGGGGGGGCGTCTGCAAAATGCTAGGGCAGGATGACACCATCACCTCCTCCTTCGTCTGTTCACCTTCGTTTCCGCGCCGATGCTTACTGGACTCGTACATCAACTTGTTTACTAAGTTTGCAGAGTGACCTTTCACGCATGGCGGCCGAGTGTGGGACTTCTCCCCGGGAGGGGAAGAGGGCGGCGTTGGTGGCAGTTGGGCCGAATGGGGGTGGAGGTTGACCACAGCGGTGGAGTCTACCGTGGTTCCACCTTCCAGGTTTGTCCCGGGTGTAATATCACACTCGGTGATCCCCTTACCGCACTTGGGGCCCATCCACGCAGAGCTAGGAACCGTCTCGCTCTCAGTATTATGACCCGCACTTCTGCGTACGTCTCCGTCCTCGGGAGTCGTCGCAGGGTCCCCCTGGCCCTTCGTCGTCGTGGCACTGTGCTCTCCGACGACCCGCGAGCAAGCGACCTCTTCAGAGACGAGAGCAGGTTCACACGGCGGGACGGCGGGGTCAGCGCGATGGGCTTCGTTGTCCGCAGGGACGCAGTAGCTGTCACCTGCGGCCTCTTCCGGTGTGCTTCCCTCCCGTTCCTGCTGGGCGGCATCCACGCTGCCAGCTGGTCGCTCATCAGCTGGCTCGACCCTTGTCTCAGAGGGCGCCGACGCTCCCTTCTTGGAGCAAACCCTCCCTTCTGGTTCCTCCCCCTGGCTGGGGGTGGTGGGGCCAGCGGGGGGCGAGGAGAGGAGGGGATCAGCGGTGTCACTGCCATCGTCTGAGGAAAGCGACGAGAGGAAGTTCTGTCGCAGGAGATTTATTTTCTGCTTGGCTGCGTGAATGTCGATATCTTTCCTGTTTGCCTTCGGGGATGACTGTTGCTCGTCAGAACTATAACGCTTGCATTTGGCTTCAGAGATTTCTCCGATATTTACACAGTCTTGTATTTTCGTGAAGTCACTTGTGCCAGAATAGTTATTGTTTTTCTCTTTATTTTCCGAGCTAATTTCTCCTTTGCCATTCTCACCACCTAAATCACTGGGCGAGTCACTCTTAGCACTGTCTTGCCCCCCTCTTACATCACTAGCTTTATCACTGGTTTTATCACCGCCGCCGACACCGGAAGGCCTTGCCGCGCCCTCTTCCCCGACGCCGTCACTTCCCTCCAGCTTCCCTGACAGATCTCGGGCTTTGACTTCGGCGACGTCGCCACTGGCTATGGCGTCGGGGCTGGAGGCGGGCAGGGCCAGCTGCATCACAGACACATTTGTTTGGCTTGCGAGAGGAATGCACGCGTCAGGCGCGCCCTGCTCCTGACACGAGTTCACCTGGGAGGCAACGAGGACCTTGGGCACCGACACTAACGCGGGCCCCTCCAGCTTCGACCTGGGGTCACCATTTGCGCACTGAGGGGCAGCGTCCAGGCTCACACGGGACTCGTATACCACCGGGCGAGGCGTGGGCGGGCATGTGCCCTCCACGCCCACTTTTATTACCTTGTGTTCGTTATCACGCACGCAACTTCCGTCCTGATTGTGGCACGATCCATTGTACACACGGCTTTGGTATTGCACATTTTCGCTATCACTTTTTACACCATTAGTATCCTTCCCTTCTCGGGTGGGGGGCGTGGCCTGGCCCTTAGGGGGAGGGGACGCGTCCTCCCCGTCTGTGGTTACGGGCACATCGTGTCCATTCGGGGCAGTAGGCACTTCATCTGTCAGCGAGACTCGCTTCAGTTCCTTCTTGAGGAATACCTGCGAGCTTTCACTGACATGCAGGCCTCCCTCCCCCCCCTCGTCTGGGGAGCTGCCCAGACACCCACTGTCCCCATCGGAGGCGAAGAGGTCCTCCCCTGGGGGCACGATGAGCGTCATCGTGGGCGGGGGCACGTCGGGTCACGTGCGATTATTTGGCTCACACTCGCGGAAATTCTCCACCCACGCCCTGCTGCCCGAAGGAGAGCCCTCGCCTCCTCCTACCGTAGGGCCAGGGGTCCCAGGGCCGCTAGGTGTGCCGCGGCCCCACATAACTGGCTGTGGCACTTCTGACAGCTGATGACCAGCAGCTCTCTTCCTCGTTAAGCCTCAAAGGCACTTTACTACCGAGAGTGTGTAACGCTCTTTGACAATGAGCTCACAACTTACCTGTTTCCATAACCGAAACAGTACTTTTCTTTTCACATAAATGTTCACATCATTCATCCATCCTCATCACATACGATCTATTCACAAGCCAACAGATCGACATTGTATAAATCTCCTCCCAAAGGTGCGCCACACCTGGTACATGACCGTTTGTTTTCTGATTACCTGAAAATTAAAGTAATCTTTAGATTGCTTACAGACTCAAATGGCCGATGACCGATGACATACGGCTCATTCAGTGGCATGACGCAGTTGGCAGATGCACTTTGTTGCTACGTTAACAGCTGCATGACGCGGAACACGACGCGGTGTTTGGCCAGCGGGAAAGTATTCGCTTGCAGATTCCTATAATACAATTGACGTCATGGATACACTTGTCGAACACTTGCACTTTTCGGGTTGCAACAGGGACCGCCCACGTGTCCTCAAGGATACTCGGGGAGGCCCCCTGTCGCACCACTGCGGTGTTGGCGGCCGTCCAGGGGCGGCAACGACTCCCTGAGGCTACCCCCCCCCCCCTGCCATACATCCACAGGGTATTACTTCACGATCAATTACTTTTACTTTGTTAGGCGATCAAAATATCAAATACATAATCAGCTGACATATAATTAAATATTTCCAATAAAGAAGTATAAAAAGTACCACGAATGAGGTTTATCTTGCATTTTAAGGGGAAGACAGTCCACGTGGCAGAGGCCGGCGAGGTTCCTGTCATCCCCACGGCTGTCAGGGCGGGGAGAGGGGGCGGAGTGGGGACGTATGCCTTCCCTCCCCTACCTCAACCATCATTTGCATAGTAAAAAAATAAAAAATAATAAAATAAAAACAGCATGTGACATTTTCAACTGCGAGGTCATTGTCATTAATTATCAACTTTCCCGCAACGTCGCCTACACACTCCTTGAAAATTCTGATTAATGCCTCCTCTTATTTTCTCCCCTGAATTCCCTCTGCAACTTCGTTCCGCCTCACTCAACATCTTGGCACGAGGACAGACGAGGCTTGGCACGCGGATGATGGTCAAGACATCCATAATGTGCGAAAAGAATGGGTAAACAGATGCGCGAAATGCCCCTGCTCCCATCCTTCCCCTTTCTCCCCCTCCTCCCCCTCCAGCCCCCTCCTCTTGGTATCAGTCTGCAAGTGATACGCGTTGGGAGGGAGGGGAGGGAGAGGGGTGTTTGGGCCAGGGGGGACTTCCATTTACGTCATCCACAACTTTACACGTTTGAGTGGGGGTGGGGGTGGGGGTGGGGGTGAGGGAGAGGCGTGGTGGTGGGTTAGGGAAGTTATATTCAAGCTTGCACACAGGTTTACAGAATGAGTGACAGGGGCAGGGCAGAGCAAGGTGAGATGGGGCCAAGGTAAGGGATAAGGGCTTGGGGGGGGGCCCCTAAGTGACTTATATACAACTTGACACAACTTGACGCAAAGGCAGCGGGGTGGCGAAGACGTTCCCGTGATGTTGGACGCGACCAAGCCCATTCTCATTCCGTCTTCTGGGACAACCTCGGCCAGCGTTGCGTAAGTGCTTTTAATAACCCTCCGCCCACACGGCTTGCGCAGTAATAGAGTGATAATAACCTCTATCGACACCTGCCGCGGGGTGAAGTGCTGGGAGTGGCACAAAGTGAATTGTATGCTATACTACAAGTGCATGATTATTCAACCCCCGCCATTCGCCAGTCTATAAAATGTTCACCATATATGCTATACAAGAGTACGTTCCAGGAGTTTAAAATTGACCCATCAAAATCCATGATGCTAATGAAGAGTCAATTACCTAGGTGTTGAGAGTAATTTCACTATGATTCAACAGCCATCTCCCTCCGCCAGCAACAGCCCAGTCATCCGCGTGGGCAGCTCCCTTGGCCGGCGTGGGCCTCCCCCTCCTTCCCCCTCCCCTGCCCCATCTCTGCTTCTCATGCCTTCGCTCGCACACCTTGTCCGGAGATCCTCCCTCTGCCTCCTACTTCTTCCTGTTTACTTCATTCTCTTCGACTCCTCGGTTCCGCACTTTGCTGCAATGTAACGACGCATTTCCCCTTCCCTCACGCCTTCCTTCCGGGCGCAGTGCTGTCACAGCGATTCCACCCTTACCCGTGCATCTTAAAAGCTTCCGCGAAGGCCTTGCAAGACGCTCCCTCCCCCACCCCCATCCCTCGCCTCCCTACTCGCCCCCCACGGCTCGACCTTTAGAACGTCCGTCACCTGTAAACACCCGTAAAATCCATTATGCATACCGAGGCCCTAGCTTTTAGCAGCCTCGTTAATACTAGTTTGCTTCTCAAAACGTGTGTTATTTACGCTTCCCTGCGCCCTTTGCGTCACTGAGACAAGTCCGTTCTACCCTCCTGCCCGACGCGGTTTCATTCTAAATCCCATACTGTGCGTAATCCTATAACCCCCCTCGCCCCCTCCCGCCCCTCCTTCCGGACCCATGATATCAGAGCCTCTCTTCCGCATGAATGGCCTGCCCTCTCCGCCGCTCGCGCCCATCGTCGCCCTCACTCCCACCAAATAAAACCTCGTCTTTCAATCCACGCATTCCCCCTTTTCGATACTTTCCCCCCCTTTATTCCACCTTTCTCTCCCATACTTCTCCAGCACCTCATTCTGGCCCCTCCACCACCGCCTCTCCACCCGTAAGCATCCTCCACCTTGCTTGTCCCAACATCTCGACCTGAAGGACGCGACGCCTAAAGGCCAGCCACCTGTCTGCCCCCCTGCCTCCCCGGGGAATGGAAGTGTCAGGTAAACAACGTGGAGCTCGAGTAGGCTTCGTGTAAACAAAATAATACTTTCAAACTTCACGGGAAGCCCTTCAGCCTCATTAACGCCGCTAATAGGGCCTCGACGCTTGCTCACAATTCGAGGCACAAAGGTCTGTTGAGGATTTGTTGAGCGTGTTTTAATTCGCGTGGTAATAACTGTAAAAAGATAAATAGATGGATGGATGGATATATAGATAGAGCGAGAGAGAGAAAGAAATATAGTTACATAGAAAGAGAGATAGCCAGACAGGGAGAGGGGTGAATAGAAGGCGCAAAAGCAATCTGGATCCTAAAGAGCTCGTCCTCCCAGGGGTGAGCACGTGTGCACCTGAGTCAGCTTCGTGAGTGATGAACAAAGCGTCGCCACAATAAGCCGCGTAGCCGCTAACGGAACCTGAAACATCCTAAACGAGGAAGGCGCGAGAACAAAAAACATGACACAAGTATTCTAATTGTGAAAATCCGAGAAAAAAATACCCTTCCCCTGCCTCTAGGGCGCGGCCAAGTGTTCGAGATAGCAGCCAGGCGCCGCGCCTACCTGGTAGGCCTAAAGAGGGCATGCCGCAACCCCTGCCCGGGCCCAATACAACACTCACACTTGCCAACACTAACGTGCCTTCTCCCCTCACCCGCAGATTACATAAATTATCCGTGAACCTAAAGAAATACTTGTGCCCCGAGTCCTAAGACAACATTACGTATGCCTATCTATCATTCACTCGTGTTAAAGGTTACGGAAACATTTAGGTGAGTTGTCTTTCAGGACCCAATCAGCAAATTCGTTTACATTTTTTTTCATGCAGATTGTAATAGAAAGTAAAACATTAATCTTGCAGAGATATTACCGACTGAAGACAAATATAAATAATAATCTAATTAATTAAAGCAGAGCTCGGTAAATACTGTAGTAATTAGACCTAAACAGCTAGTAACTGTCGCGGCCTGAGAGGGAGCAGGCAGATGGCGCAGAGGTCGCCGAGCCCAAGCAGACGACGGGCGGCCGGGCCATTAGGCGACAGGTGGTGTCGTGTTGATAATGCCAAGAGGGAGCAGCTATGCAGCCCTCTGGCAGCATCCCAATCGAGGGTCAGAACGTGGCAATTCCCATCTCCGCTTTCGTGTCTGTCGAGCTATGATGCAACTTCAACAACTAGGGCCATGTTTGCCACGGCACCTTGCAAATATCAACACGAGACCAAAGAGTAAAATGCTGCGAATAGCAATGGCAAGAGAGGGGGCTTGACTCGCAATATGGAGTGGATGTGTTCGCGTACCCGCAGCAACAGCAGGAAGATAAAGCTGCCGCTGTCCCATTTACCTGCCAGCTTACACGGGTTCCCTTAGACACATCCCCATGTTGGTCTTTATCTACCTGTAGGGAGGAACTCCTTATCTCGAGCCGCCTCCCAATTACACGCTGTACGGCAGGTGATGGGCCCAGATGACTAGATGGGACGCCAATTAGTGACGTGAAGCGGAATGGTATCGAAGACTCTAAAAACACAAGACGAAAAATAGAAAAGGGAAATACAGTTCACAGCCACCATATGTCCCCCTCCGCCAGCCATGAAAAGGGCTCGTTAGGGTCGACCCTGGCCGAAATTTGCATATCTGTCCAGGTTTGTTCGCTATGCACGCAAGATATGAACCATGACAGGGATTAATAAACAACCAACCTTCTCTCTCTCGGCTCTCGACAATGACACGCGTCACATACAAATGGGCTCGTCATCGTCACAAGACGGAGCGCGCCAGGAGCCTCTTCCTCTTCCGCGTCACATTCGAAGAACAGGCATGCGAAATAACAACCACATGCCTCCCTCACAGTCACACAAACACATGTATATTTGTGAGATAGGTAGATAGATAGACAAATAGAAAGAGAGAGAGAGAGAGAGAGAAAGAGAGAGAGAGAGAGAGAGAGAGAGAGAGAGAGAGAGAGAGAGAGAGAGAGAGAGAGAGAGAGAGAGAGAGAGAGAGAGAGAGAGAGAGAGAGAAAGGAAGAAAGAAGAAAAGAAAAAAGAGAAAGAGAAAGAGAGAGAGAGAAACGCAGAGTTGAGGCAGTGACGTTGCCTGCGTCCCCCAACCTAACCCATGAACTGATACCGACCACGTGAAGTGTTCCCAAACAGGTCTGCATTCAGTTTTCCTTCACCTGCATTCCCTACCCCCCCCCTTCCCCCGTCCATGCCCGTCGCACAACCTCTGCTACGGAAACGCGGTTTCCATGGCTACTCGTTACATATGTAGTGATATCAACACGACAGAAACCAGAATGTCTTGGGTACATAACCAAGCCCGTTATCAAGGTATTAATTTCAACACCGTTTCGATTTTTTTTTCTGTTAGCTACACCAGAGAAAACGAGACATTACTTTACACATCAAC